AGTCGCCATTGCCTTGCATATGACATTGGCTCTGGATTCAAGCGCTTCCGTTGAGAGTTTGCATAAAACCACTTCTGCCTTCGTGAGCAAACAGCTAACTCAAGAGCAAATGGTCACACTTTGCTTTTCAATCTTTCTTCCTCCCACGGTTGCCATGGATGATGATGCCGGCATGAGTTCGAAGCCTCCAATGAAACGATTGGATCAGGCACAGACCAAATTGGAAGAAGCGCAGTCCGAATTGAAAGACGCGCAGTCCGAATTGAAAGAGGCGCAGTCCAAATTGGAAGCGGCGCAGAATGCTTGGCTAGCCGCACCACACGAAGACAAGGGCATCCACGAGAGCATTGTGCAGAGTGCCGAAAGGAATGTGCAGAGTGCCGAAAGGAATGTGCAGAGTGCCAAGGAGATGCGTGACGTTTTTTTGAATGCCGTGGCGAAGATGCAAGGCACGATGGCTCAGTCTGAGGAAGGACCTGTCCTGGAGATGCTGACGAACCTGCAGCAGCAGCACGGTAACTTGCAACAGCACATGGAGCGAATTCAACGCAATGAAGCCTTGTTGTTTGAAGCCTTCTTGGAGCGATACTCTTTGACACCGGTTTCACACTACTCATCGGCAACAGTTGATGGTCAGTGGCACCGGCAATCACTGGAATACTACCAAACATCGAGTTGCCTTGTTCTCCAGAAACTTTTCCCGCAGGATTTTTGTGTACAGCCACGGTGGTTGCGGCATACGGGTTGGGACTCAATCTTTCCAGCTGTGGTTGAGCACATTATCCCCAAGAAGGGCTACAACTTCATCCAGAATGAATTGAACGTTCGGATCGACGATCCTCGCAATAGCCTACCGCTTCTTCGCCATTTGGAGCATGCGTTTCAGGACGGAGATTGGTCTTTGATTCCTTTTGCGAAGCAAGACGGAGGGGTATGGTTCATAATCCATGTCAGCCAACTTTTGATGAGTGAGAGTGTGTACTACATTGACAACAATGATCGTCAACAAGATGTGGTTCTTGTGCGCAAAGAGCACTGGCTGCCGCTGCAACCATTGACGTTTGGAGACTTGCATTTGCAGAAGCTCCTTATTTGCCCACCGCCATCCCTCCGTGCACTATTTTTGAAAGCACGGATGGCGTGGAAGAAGCATCAGGCAGACGATGAGCCTCTGCCCAACCCAGTTGAGTCCGCAAGCGTTTTCGCAGATTCTTGTGAGAAATGGGACGGTTTCTTGGTTGCCAAGTTCTTTAAATCAATTGAGGAGCTGGGGACTGCTGAGGGAGCACAACCTCCATAATTTGGACAGCACCTTCAAAACACTGTTTCACAAACAGGGTGAGTGTAGAAAAAGGCATTCTCTCAGCGCTGTAAAGCTGTGCAGGCGGTATGCCGTGTAGTCTTCCTTGTGTTCCGCTTCGTAAAAACAAATCAGACGCAGCGAAGATGAAAAAAATCGAGCTGCCCAGATGCGCGTTCGGCAGCGACCCCCAAACCCTACACCTTATTCCTCTCCCACTTCTTTCCGCGTGAGGAGTCTTGGAAACTACTCGCATCCTCGAGCGCTACGATGCCACCGAGAAGACCTTGACCGACCTCTACACCAACAAGCGCCTTGGTTATTTTATTTATGTTTATATATATAGATACCAAAAACATAAACAAAGATAAACACAAAGATGCAACAAAACATAAACCACAAAATCAAGTTTGACACATATGGTGTAGGGATTTTTGGGGCTTTTATTTGTGTTAAAGATTAAAAAATATTGATACATGATAAAAACGCATACAAAACACAGAGCAAAAACAAACAAAACACAAGAAACCAACAAAACAAATAGAAAACAAAATTAAAAAATCAAGTTACTAAAAGAAGCGTTTCACGATCATAATATTATAAACATCATTAATAATATTATGATCATCACAGTTTTTGTTCTGCTATAAAGTCCCATATTGTATGAAAGCTAAAATATTTTCTCCTTAAGTGTATTTGATTTTCTATGTATGCCATAAGTATCGCTTTCAAAACATTTATAACATAACCTTCGTAGCATGTTCTGTATGTGATTTTTTCCATCATTCTCTCTGTATGCTGGAAACTAAAATACCCCATTGTATTCAGAATAAAGTTTCTCTTATAACTTTCAAACATATGAAATAAATCTGTATCATTTATAAACTTCTTCATTAGTAATTTGGTTGCGTGATTATACAAATACGAACGTTCTATTATTTTCTTTAAACACTCTTTCCTTTTCTTGTTGTTCTCTAACTTTTGGTATGATTTATCAAAAAAGGTAAAAACACAATGTATTTGTTTTTCAGCCTTACATAATTTGTTATATTTGTCTTGATTATAAACCTTCTCATACTCTAGTATTTCTGAACAACAATGGCAGGTAAGATAAGAGGTAATATTCTCAGTAATATTTTCATCAAATATACACATCAGCACCTCTCGCTTTCTGTTTCTGTGTTCTTTGCATACCCCACATTCAAACTTGAAACGAAATGTTTTCATCATTTTACTCTAACATATATAGACAGTATTTCTTTAAATACTTTTCTTAAGACATTAATTCTAAAGAATATTAAACCTTTAACAACTCAAAACGTAAATATGGTCTTGTTTGCCCTTCTACATAATAATAACTTTGACTTAATTTCTTTTCTATTCTTTCTATTGTATACACACCTTTACTGAAATTTCCTACCCTTTCCTTCTCATTCGGTTTTCGCTTCCTGAATATCTTCGAGTGGTCCTGTGAAAAGGGGGGAGCCCGAGTCCGCCTCGGCTTCCTCTGCCTCTTCTGCATTCGAGCTTCACCTCTTGAGTTCCTTGAGAGATGCCCCGGCCACACATTTTTCTGTCAGGCAACCTTGGGATGTGAGCATTGCATCTGACTCGTCAGCTCGAAAGAGGTTCCTGCCGATTTTACCGGCACCGGAAAGGTTGTTGCCGAGCCTCAGGAGCTCAGGTTCGGAGCCCGAGCACCCCGAGGTGAGGCGAATGCAGAGCAGACTTGATTCGGCAGGTGCAAAGTTTGCTAAGAGGACTAAGCATGCTACCTGGGATGCCAAGGAAACCGAGGAGAGAAATTTTGCTCTCTTCAAGTGGCTAAGGATTGTGGAGCAGGGCCCTTGGGATTTCTCTGTTTGGAGGGACTTCTTGAAGGCCCGGCTCATGGGCTTAGGTGCTGGTGATCTTCGTGAAAGCATAGGGAATGCTCTGGCCGTGAAGAGCACTTCAACTTTGCACACCAGGGCGGGCCCTCTCTTGAGGTATATCAGTTACTGCGAGTCGGAACACCTTGACCCCTTTCCGGTGAGGGAGGAAGTGGTGTACCGTTTCTTTCATTCTTTGCAGTTGCAGGCAGCAGCGACTTTCTTTAAGTCGGTCTTGTCATCGCTTGCATTTTGCAAATTCGCCCTGGGACTTGAAAGTGCTTCTTCAGCCCTTGACTCACTCAGGGTGACTGGTCTTGCAAAGAAGCTCTATCTTGGAATCAGGCGTCTTCAGCAGAGGCCGCCTCTCAGGGTTAAGGATCTCTTGAGACTTGAAAGGATCTGCACCGGCGACATCATCAAGCCTTCCACGGATGTAGTCATGGCAGGTTTTGCTCTCTTCATGGTGTACGCGAGGGCACGTCACTCTGATGCTCAGCATGTGTGTGCCTTGCGATTCGCTCTTGCTGAGGGGGGTTCTCTTCCTGCAGGTTTCGTGGATGCTGAAGTGAAGAAAACCAAAACCAGTTTTACCGTGGAAAGGAAGACAAAATTCTTGCCGATGCTAGCGCCAGCTAGAGGTCTCAGCGGGAGGTGCTGGGCCTCAGGCTGGCAGGAGGCCCTCGATAAGGAGGGCATCGTCCCAGCCGAGGGGCGTCCCCTCATGCCCTCGCCTCGCAGTGGTGGTGGTTGGAATGCAGTGCCTCAGTCAGCCCAGGCGTCGGGATTATGGTTGCGAGCACTGTTGGACGACAACTCAGGCGACGACTTCCTCCTGGAAGTGGGCATGCATTCGGCGAAGGCAACATGCTTGTCTTGGCTGAACAAGAAAGGAGCTGACCGGGATGTTGTGGCTTTGCTTGGGTATCACGCCACGAGGCAGGCTGGCATTGGTACGGAGATTGTTTACGCAAGGGATGCTATGGCGCATCCCCTTAGAGTCCTGCAGGCTTTGATTGACGAGGTCAGAGAGCTCTCCTTTCGTCCTGACGAGATGAGGGGATTGATGACTGCAGAGGAGCGTGCTGCTGCAGGCATTGGCAATGCCCCTGAGGAGTGTGGGTCGTCGTCGTCATCCGGAGACGAAGAACATCCTCTTCACGATGAAAAGGGCTGAGCACGGGGTTCTTGGGGCTTGGAGCGGGCGTGTCGACAGGGCTAAGCTTCCTGAAGATGCGGTGATGGCGAGGAATCTAACCTCGCGAGTTTTGCACATTTCCAAAGAAGAGCAAGCGACTGTCTTTATTTGCGGTCGCAAGATTAACAGTGCTTATGAGGTCTGTGATGAACACCCTCAAGTTTTGTTTCCCCGCTGCAAGCAGTGCTTCAGGAATTTCCTGGAGTGAGTATCATCGACGTGCGTGCATCAATATCAGTGCGAGAGTTGCAAAGTGTGAGCGCGGACAGGCTTCTCTCATGTACGCCTCCATCGCATATTGACCTTTGTGTGCGACAAGGATTGCAGGCGCTACACCTTGGACCGGAACAAGTTTAGGCCTTTGTCCGTTTGCATGAGCGTTTGCATTGAGGCATCTGGCGATTGTTGGTGCGTCTAGGACCACTTGAGATGTGTGCGCTTCGCTGAGTAGTGAACTCATGCAGTGGGTGCATCTGGAGATCGCTGAGGCGTCTAGGACCATCAGTGTGTGTTGCATCTGGCTGATTGGTGAGCGAGACATATGAACGCTCGCCCATCGGGCGGTTTGGCCGGAGTGGCAGTGCATGACAGCGTGGATGCTCAAAGAACAATACCATAGGTTAGCAGGACCATGGCTTCGTACACGGAGTCTGAGCCTGTCTTCACGAGCAGGTGTGATGCTGTGGGCCTCCCGAGCGAAACCGTCACTAAGCTGAAGGCATCTGGGATAAATACGTTGGCGAAAGTCGCTTTCGTTTCATCGTATGCTCCGGGAGCCTCCTCGGATGCTGAGCTCATCAAGGTTTTGGATGAGGCGCTGGGAAGTCCCAGCGATGCGGGACAAAAAGCCTCGTGGAGGAGGCTTTTCCACGAAGCCTATGCCGTCGCGACTCAGGAGCTAAAAACAATGGCAGAGAGGCCGGATGAGGCTGGGCCGAGGAAACTCTCCCAGCCCGAGAGGGCGGAGAGATATCGCAAGATCAAGGCATCCGTGACAGGGATCGACATCCGAGATAGGAATGAGCCTAGCGATGCACTGCTTGATTTATGCGTGGGCATCTACGAGGGAAACCGTCTGAAGTACGTTTCATGGGATAAGTGCACTTCGAAGTCCCAAGAGCTCGCTTCAGATGCGAAGAAAGACAATATGCTTACCTTGGACGCCCAGGGCCGCTTGAAGACAGAGTCCAAGAGTGACGGCATCCGTGCTGACACGAGTTCGGAGATTTTGCTTCAGTTCGCATTGCTCCGAATAGGGCTGGCTTTCGAGATGGCCAATCTCTTGGACTTCAGGCTGCACCGTCGTTGGGCGGAGAAGCTCATCGAGACAAGGATGACGGCTCAGAGCGAGTCGCATTCTCAGGTCACTTTCTCGCAGCTCGAAGCAGCAGACCGAAGACTTTTTCTGGAGTTAGCCGATCGTTCGCGAGATGGTGTCCAGGCGGGGCCCCTGGGGAGGCCGCTGGATGATGTATTCGAAGACGTCACGAACCTCCCAGACGTCGTTCATCTGATGCAGCCTCTGCCTAAGGGTACAGGGAGTGGCAAAGTCGTTGATCCCCCGAGGCCTCGATTCACTCCCTACGATCGCTCGCCGAAGGGCGGCAGAAAGGGCAAAGGCACTGGACGAGGGAATCCAAGGATGCCTCGAGAGGTGGTGGGATGCCGTGCATGCACCAACAAGGGCGAAGCAATATGCTTCGGGTATGGGCTCAAGACGTGTACTGAGCAGGTGAAGAACGGGAGGTGTTCCCGCGGCCTCCACGTATGCGCAGTCCCGAAATGTGGGCTCGCACATCCTGCTCTGGATCGCCCTCACTATGCTTCTCTGAAGAAGGGAGGCTCGTGACTAGACGAAGGTCACGCCAGTGCGGTGGAGCAGCCGCACCCAAGATCTGGAAGCGGGCCTGAGGGGGCTCGTTCGCGGATAGCAGGAGCGAAGCGCCCTGCACCTGGGACTGAGGAGTCGATCGCCATTTCATCGTTTGACAAGCCAGACCGGTCGACTGAGGAGTCGATTGCCAGTTCATCTTTTGACAAGCCAGCAGACGCCAAGTTGGAAGCTTTTACTTGTACAGGACCTGAGCAATTTTCTGCAGCAGCTGCTGCAAAGCTCAACTTTGAGATGCACGATTTGGTAAGCCTATGTGACTTGCTGACAAGCGAGATCCCCGCGCGAGGTGGCGGTTCTGGTGACGAGTTTGCTTGGAGCACAGGAGCCTATGTGCACGGAGGTGTTCATGGTTGTCGTCAACATCTCAGACAGTTTCCTGTGACTTCGGCATTCTTGGCTAAGGTCTTCAGGTCGTGCCTACCGGACGTTCCGTTTACGACTCTGTGCCTTTCGAAGGATGTGAGAACTTCTTTGCATTTGGACGCCAACAACGCCTTGGGTTTCTTGAACGGGGTTATTAGGGTTTCGCCTTTCGTGGATGGGGGAATTTGGGTCGAGTGCCCTTCAGGCTCGATGCCGTGTCCCGAGGACCCCTCGAGGTTAGGAAAGGTTCTTGACTAATTCGTGGAGCCATTGTGTTTGACCCGCGTCAGAAACATTTAACCATGCCGTGGACTCGTGGGCCTCGCATTGTTCTCATTGGTTTTGTCGTCAAAGCCCCCGAAGCCATGCCGCAGGAGGTAGTGCGTGAACTCGAGGGTGCAGGTTTTCATGTTCCTGTGCATGACACTGCAACGACGCTCACAGGTGGCGTGCATCACGACCCTGCCTCTTTGGGTTTAGTTCCTGGCACCCCTAGGGTTACACCCCAGCCATGCTCGCTCAAAGCAGGAGGGCCGCTCTTCATACAGCTTTGTGCAGGCAACGGCCTCCTTTCAGCTCTGCTGAGTGATCGCGGGTTTGCGACTTTATCTGTCGACTTTTGGAGAAGTCGCTCTAAACCGTATGTGCATGTAGTCGGCCTTGACTTGACTTTGCCATCCTCGTGGGAATACCTGACGACAGTGCTACGCACCAGGCAAGTGGCACACGTGTATGCCACGCCTCCCACAAGCACGACTGTGATGCCAAAGCCGCGCGCCAATCAAGGTGGGTCTCTCTTACGAGACTCGACGAATCCCTGGGGCATGCCGATGTGTTCATCGCTTGACTCGGCTCGTTTGCAGTCTGCGAATCGCATTTTCATTCAGCTCGCTTCGTTTTGTGACTTGGCACACAAGCTAGACATCCCTTTCACGGTCGAGCATCCTTGCGATTCTTGGCTATGGCACTTGCCCCCTTTTCTCGAACTTCGTCAGGTGGTTAAGTCTTCAGTTGTGCAGCTCGGATTTTGCGGGTCTCGCATCGCAAAGGCGGCCATTCTGTCGACTGCACCTTTCCTGAATGAGTTGTGTGTCTCGCCCGGGCAAGGTCCAGGTCGGGATACCGACCAGCACAAGCTTTTCTGTTCGCATTTTGCCGACTTGCTGCAGGCTTCTTCAGGCGTGCAGCCCGCCTTGCCTTTGCCATCACTGTCCGAGGTCCGTGCTGCTACTCATGCCCAACCTAAGGTTTCGAAGCGGCCACCTTTGATTCCAGAGTTCGAGTATACACAACGCATCCGTTGCAATGCTGCTCCTCCCTTGAATGACAAAAACCAGCTAAAGATTGCTTGGCAGGGCGTCCCAGCCAAGGCCCGTCTGCTGCGATCTTTTGTGTGTAAAGGGGGTGACCCTGCAAGTCAGCAGCAGAGCGAGGTGCGTGAGTTGGTCTTTGGTGTCTTCAGAGAGCCTGTGAAGTTTGTTTACCAAGCAATTGCCTTGCAACACCCTTTTGACTCGGCGAGGGCTATTCCGGATCGCATTCTTAGGGTTCTTTTTGCCACCTTGACTAAGGGTCCCTTGGTCGTGATGAAGGACCGTCTCAGAACCCTTCAAACTTGGACCTCGTGGGCTAAGGAGCTTGAGTCGGCTGAAGTCGCTTTGCATGCCTCCTTGCACCCTTC